CAACATGGCGCCTGGCCTGGCGCGCGGGTCGTGTCCCTCACCGCCTCCCGTAGCCGCGGCCTTGGCAACGCCGGGGGTGAACGCAGCTTCCGCGGGGCCGGCTCGCGCTTGGGGCTGGACAGAACGAATCGATTTCCGCACCCTACAGGCTTCCGGCGCCTCCCAGAGCCCCTAGGGCCGGGCGGCTAGGGGAGGGCGCGGAGCACCGAGCAATCGATTGCCCCGCTCCTCGGTTTCTTCTCCCTCACGGGACCCAGGTGGGAGGCTGGAGGGGGGTTGAGCCTGGCGCGCCTGGGCGAGTTTGTCTGCGTGGACTCAGCCTTGCAGCGCCCGGAGCCCTGCTGCACTTGGCCCCGGGCTGGGTGTCCGGCCCGGCCCACTTTGTCCCGAGGGCAGCGGTTTCTCCCACGACAAGCACGACGTGTGCTGGGTCCCCAGCCAGGCGCTGGCCCCGGTCCCAGCTGCGTCCCGCGCTCTTCGGGGCTTGCCATCACCCGCCGCCGCGCCTCGGGGGACACGAGCTCTCCCTCGCCGCCTCTAGCCCCCTCGTTATTTTCCCTATGGGTGATTCTCCGCCGGGTGCCACGAGGTGTGAGGGGATAAACACAGGCTTGTCCTTGCCGGGTCACTCCCCCACCGTCCCTGTCGGGCCCCTTGGCAAGCATGTAATGCATGTTAGGTTTTGAAATTGGGTGCCACTCAAATCCCAGAGCCTATGGAGGTGCCCCCCGTCCAGCGAGGGGTGCTCGGACTCCAGAAGGCTTGCAAGCCAGAGCTCTACATATTCCTTTCCCGCTCCTACTTGCCCCTCTTCTTTCCTAGGTGAATGATCCCAGGCCTTGCTCTCTTTCCTCCTGAGATTTTTTCCCCTTGCTCTTGATCGTACCCAAGACCCTACATGGCTCAGCGTTTGAAGTGAGGCCGCCCAAATTATTATATAATAGCATTATCATACTCTTTGTATAACCCACCACCCCATTCCTTAAGTACCTGATGTGCTAGATTTTCTGACAGGAGTTGCATTGTGAAAGGTCATCCCTGAGCTGTCTGTGATGGCTTCCAAACACTATTTATGAGCTTGGACAGTTTATTTAGACCCCTGAAAGGCAGCAGCTGCCAACGTTTTCAGTCTGCTGGATACAATGAGCAAGCTTGGGTCAGAGACAGGTGCCATTGATGACACTTCACCATAGCACAGAAGAAGCCCCCTCCACCAAATGCCACCAAAGCCTCATGTTTGTAAGCTGGATAGGACAGCTGCTCAGACTAGGTCTGACCTATGTGCTGTAGACTGAGGGCCCCTATTGGAAGGTGTCTAAGTAGTTTACAGTGGGTTAGCGTACATGCCAGCCTACATTACTTAGAGTCCATTCCTATGACTAAGGTTGTTAGCCACAAAAGCTTATGCATCTCTGAACCAACTGGTCTGCAAGGTGACACCCTGCCCTACCTTCTGCCTGACTTCAGAATCACACTGTGGCTGTCTGTGTTTCTACTGTGAAGAATGACTGATAGACATAGCGATCAATTACCCAGCCCTTCCAAGAGCTGCAAGGAAGCCCCTCCCAGTGCACCAGCCAGCTAAGGAGGCAGGGTATGCATCTCTAAGTCAAGATCAGGGGGAGGAGGAACAGCAGCTTCTTACTTCCCTTAACAAAGATGGGGAGATAAGTAACGTGAGGAAAGGAGTGTTAACTGCTGCCAATAATTTAGGGCCTGTACACATTTTGAGAGGTCTGGGTAGCAGAAGCCAGGGCAGGATGGAGACCGCTGCTGGCCATGTACAGTTGCTGCTGACCTGTTGTAGATAAACACAGAACATCAACTTTTGTGGCTGCCTATCTGGCATGTTTCATAAGCATTACGTTATTCTTTAAAAAGATTATTTAAAACAAGAAGTGGAAACATAGCTGCTTGTCAGTGCAGATGTAAACTTCTCTAAGAACCTTGTATGTCACCTCATGTTTTCCTCAGTTTGAGTGAACAGTGCATTTTACTTTCTTCAGCTGACTTTTGCCAGACCCATAGAATTCTAATTTTGAGTACCTTTTCATTTTGCCCTTGAACTAACAGGTGCTCTGTTTTCTACTCTCAACTCATTTTCTTCATTATGCTAACTTTGAATGGCCTATGAATTTCTGTGCTCCTTTTCTACCCATGTGTGTATTCTAAGCAGGGATTCTGTAATCTATTTCATAGGAACCAGGAAGTACCTTGTAGAAGAATATTAAATTGAACTTCCTCTCCATATCCTTAATGGCTTTTCATTCATAATTACAATATTTGTAATGAGTGTGTTGATGATGACAGAAATCCACCAGAACATATTTTATTGCCTTATTTAAATGCAGTTTTTTTTTTTATTTAATGGCTGATTAGCATCAGCTACAGTCAGTCAACAGCAGATCACATTAAAGTTCTATATAATATGAGCATGGCATTTTTATTTTTTCACCATGTTATCCATGAAGCAATCATTAATAATATGAAGCTGTTCATACAGTCATCTGCAATTCTATTAATAATGTTCATTTCAGGTTAGTTTACTATTCAGCACCTAGAAATTTCTACAGATGAATAAGGGTAACTGGTATACACATACCCAAACCTGCATATAACCAACACGTATATGTAGCCTGGGTACACCCAGGGGTGTGCCCTGTCCGTAACTGGAAGGGATAGGATGGTCAGGCAAGACTGCTGTGAGAGGGCCTGCCACCAGGGAGTAGTCCCCTCTTTTCTCTATAGAGCTAAGCGGGGACAAAGCACTTAATTATATACAAATGTATTGCTATACAAAAATAAGAGATATTAAATATTTACAGAAGAATTACTATGTGACACCATATACAATAACCTGCAATCAACACATTGCACCACTTCGAGGGACTGCAAGACACAGAACAGGTGATCCACAGCGTAGACAATAGTTAACCCCCTTGCACAGATGAGCATTAACACCCTGGAACAGGTAAGTCAAGGTATCAACACAATAAACACATATAAGCATCAACTCAGATAAACCCAGGTAAGCTGAGGCAGCAATACAATAGTTGTACACAGGCAACAATATAGGTAAGTTCAGATAATAGGCAGTAAGCATATAGGTAATGAAGACAGGTAAACCTATATAAACCCTCTTAAGGAGTACCCATAACTATATTAACATCTACAATATGAAGCAAACCAATTAAAATACTGGGTGTACTCAGCACACCACGGGGAGTTCCCTGGAGCCCCTCCCCTTCAGGGCCCTGGGATGTGGACACCCCCCACCCCACAAGGGAAGAGGGTGGAGGCTGCAGACCCTCCTCTCCCAAGCCTGCCTCCCCTGTGGGACCTGCTTCCCCAGCAACTCCTGCTCCTGTAACCTGTCTAGGTCCAATTGCAGCCTATTCCTTCCTTCTAGTGTGCCCACATCCCCCCACATCTTCGTGTCATCAGCAGATTTGAACAGGGTGCTTTTTACCCCCTCATCCAAGTCACTGATGAAGATGTTGAACAGTGCAGCAAAAAAAAAAATTCTTGCATCTTTAAGAACAAGAAAAGAAAACCATCCCCACTTATTGCAACAACTATGAGTGTATGTATTGTATTGTATATGGACCATGCTCTTCACTGTTGTATCTGATCAACTTTACAGTATGGCATTAAGAACCATGACTAGTCTTTCAAATGTTTGTTCTCTCATCCTCTCAGAGGGCAAGGTACATACAGTGGAATATCTTGTTTGCTAGGGGTTGAGATTTTTTACTACATATATGTGGCTAGGTGTTTTATTATAGAGAAGGCAGACCAAATAAATGTTTTTTGCATTTGAAACAGAAGGTGGTAGGGTTTTTTCATGATTCTTAGTTCTTAAGGGCTTTATTCCGGTCACAGGCTGACCACTGAAAAAATTATGTCTCTAGTGCAGATAAACATTACTGTATTTAAAACAGTTCCATTGTGCAAATAGAATAAAATTGTCACTGTAATCTTCACCCCACAGTTTTAGGAGGTCCTCAGTCATAGTGTCCTGTATTTTGGGGTTTAGAGCATAGGCGTGCACAGCAGTGTCCCAGATGGGATAAGTTGCCAACATGGCATAGAGTAGGGGTGGGCAACCTGCAATATGAATGCCACAAGTGGCACAAGCAGCCTATATGTATGCCATGTGATACAAGAGGGGACAAGCAGCATTGCAGGAGAAAGATAGGGAAGGAAGCAGAGCAGGATACTGGGCAGGGTCACAGGGAGTACAAAGTAGGGGTCAGAAAGCACAGCAGCAGATTGGACAGAGGAAGGGGATTGGAATGGCACTCAGGGAGTGTGTGAGGCTAATTTGTGGCATGCCAGCCAAAAAGGTTGGCCCCCGCTGGCATAGAGTACCCAAAGGTACTCCTATATCAGGGGTGGGCAAAATATGGCCCACGGGCTGGATCCAGGCCAAGAAGGGACTTTGTCCAGCCTACTGTGAGTCTCAGTCCTCCTTAACCCAGGTGCCGTCCAGCCTGTGGCACAGTATCCTGCCACCTCCAAGTGCACAGCAGGGCTAGGGTGGCGCCACAGCTGGATTCCATTTCCCGGCAGCAGCAACCTCAGTGGTGGTGGCTCCTTCAGGCTACTGCTGCCACTGGCCCCAGCCCCATGGAGACCAGTAAGGACCCGCATGGGCAAGGCTTAAGCCCTGGGCTGAGCGCACAGCCCCAGCCCTGGGCCGCTTCAATTAGGGTATCAAAGTATAGCAGTGCCCACTCTGGACCTGCCTGCTTTGGCCAAAATGAGAAGTGGCAGCAGCCAGGCAGAAGCTGCTGCTGTGTGCAGGGAAAAAGTGGGACTTGGCGGCAGACATGGCTGCCCACCTGCCCCTCACCATTGCTGGGCCTTTCTCACTGCCACCACCCGAAGCCCATGCTGAGGCTACTCTTTGGCTCCTCCGCACCACAACCACCAGTGCCACCCTGGATCTCTGCACCCGGTGGCATGGTGGCAGAGAGGAGCCACAGG